TCAATCACTCAATACAACACTTTATATGAATTTCCTATTAATAAACTCTAATACAGTTTCCAATGCTTTTCAATACTCTTCGCAAACAACGTTACGACACACCAAACATTGTGCCCCCAATTGGCGTTCAAATACATTCAAATCTATATTAATTGACTTTTTATACAATTTGTGTCAAATATATTGATATTTCTGTCTATTATTAACACCAAAACACAATTAAAATACAATTTATTGTATTTATAAATTATAAATCATAATGAATTTACAATATATTGCGTGAGTTTATAACAATCCCTATTTCAAACACTAATCGTAATATAATGTGTGTAATAAAAGTGCAACAAATATGTGAATAGTGTTTGTAAAGGAAGTGAAAGCAAAGTATGGTTTGAGCGCCAAAACAGACAGACGTTTATTGAATGACTGATTGAAGGGTTTGGGATCCGAGCGGTGATCACAACCACAACAACACCACAAGAATGACAACAATGGATGAGTTGTCTGTCTTCGCGCAACACTTGTCATCGCACGAGCGGATGGGCCGAAGACGTGGCCGACCGGCCAAACGCGAGTCGTGTCCGGAACCGGTCCTCTCGACGACTGCACCGAAACGCGCGAAACACAGCCTGTCTTCAGACGAAGGCATCGACTTGTCTTTGGATCCGATGAACGACTCGATCGCCCTTTCGGTCAAAAGACGACAACGAAATCCCAAACAATTTGATTCAAAACTCTTTTACAATTCAGTCGTCAAATCAATTGAACGCAAAGTAAGACATGATTTGTGCCGTGAATTGCGAAATGGGTTTTCATTTCTAAACTAACGATTGGTTTGCAGTACAAGAAGAGCGACAGAGAGGACGCAGTCATCGACTTGAATGATATGCAGATAATCGGCAGCAGAGGTCTGTTGGAAGTGATTTGCAAATGAAATGTCTTTTCATCTCATTTTTGTCCACTTGTTTTGAATGACAGGAAGTATGGAAGAGAGGGACCAAATGGACTTCGGATACTTCGCTGACAACACTTTGGAAGAGTTGAGACAAAAGTCTTTCAAAAGCAAACGTCTGTTTCGCAGTCCATTGGAAGAATCGACTCCCAACACATCCAAAGCTGTCAAAGCAGTGGTGTCTTCGGCCAAACAGTTGGCTAAGACTCCGAAACAAACGGTTCCGCAAAAGCTTAACAGTAATACAAGAGGTAAGGAATGGAAGAATTGCAATACCAGTAAGCAATTGATTTCCGCAAACGCTTCCAAACGAATGGTCACTAATATAATGATAGCGGAGGAAGAGTCTGACGAGGAGTCCGTTGATAGCAATGAGTCGGAAGAACTGGAAGAAAATCATCCGCTAATGAAATACGAAAACCTAAACGTGTGGTCAAACAAAGACTATCAAATCGATTGTCTCAACAAAACGATTGAAATGTTGAAAAACGATACGAACGGACACTTCAAAGACGCCCTTAAAGAGCGTGTCTTTCTTGCGCTCAATCTTCCGGTTCTGCCGAACGGATCAAACGTTACGCCAGTTATTAAATACAATGTGAAAGGAGAGCCCAATTTTGAGTTCTTCTTCGGTTCCGCGCAATCGCCGCTCGAAGTGAGAGATGTCCTCCAAATTGATTATCGAATTATCGTTTTGTCTAAAGTTATCTACGATTGGATCCAATTGAAGACCAATCACAAGAATGCCAAACGACTCTCTTATAGCAAAAAACAGCTCCAATTTAATCATTAAATATATTCCTAAAACTGATTTGCATTTTTAATCATTTTATATAGTATTTTATGACTTGTTTTAATTCCAGTGTATTATCAATGATATGATTATTTAGTATTTAACCATTTATTGTATTTTAATTGATCTCATTATTAAATAAATCTGAATTAATTAAATAAATGCAACATTTTATTGCTTTAATAGTAAGTAAATTGAATATTGATTATGATTGCAATCAATTAATTGTAATATAATTTGAGTGAATATTAGTTGAAAGAAATGTTGAAATGTTTAAAAAGAGCGCAAAAAAGTTGTCAATAAAGAGTGAGTCGAGTGTTTGTATTGACAACAGTATTACAGTATTGTCTCAACTTTTATACATTTAATGATTAAATGATTAATTAGTGTTTGTTTGACTCATTAAAGCATTGCTTGCAATGAATGACAAGTGAGACAACAATTGAGACAACTATTGGTAAACAATGGCCGAAACTCCAGATTCAGACACTTTGTGGTCAGAGTTCTTGAGCTCTCTATACGACGACTCGCTGTACAAATCGGGCGAAGACGACGACAACGAGGAGGAAGTGAATGATCCCGAGTATCGGATTAGCGATGATTTGCTGCAATTGGACGACGACTGGGACTTCAGCGATGACAGAGCCGTCAAAGTGACCGCTTATGAGTTGGATCTGCTTCTCGACGAAGAGGACAATGAGATTGAAATACCTAA